GGTTTGGTATTTGGGCTTGGGTTTGGGTAATTGTTGGTTTTAGGTTTTGGGTAATTTTTTGTTTTGGGATTTTGGGTAATTGGGCTTTGGTTTGGGTTTGATGGGTTTTGGGCTAGACTTTGCATTTCACCCCTCCAACTTTCCATTTTTTCAATTGAGTCCTTTCTCATCTTCTTTTCCAATCTTCTTCGTAAAATTTCCTTTTTGCCCCTCTTATTTTTTTTATAAACCTAACAAGCAAAACAAGACAAAACATATTAGTTAAAATAAAAATAAAAATAAAATAAAATTCTACTAAAATTTGAGTTATGACAAGAACCTAGATTTGCCCACGAATATCCCACGGACTGATGATGTTGCTGTGAAACTAAAGTCTCCACTCTTCTACAGTTAGATTAGTTTGTGTGCTGTCTTGCTTGATTTTGTGGCCAAAATTCTCCTTTTAGCCGCTAAATGTTGGGAGAAGAATTATTGTTTTAATTGTAGTTTTGGTGGCTAGAAGTACAGTTTGAGAATGTATATATGTTTCCTGATGTGTTTTGAAAGGTTGAATTTGATTTTGGGTGTGGAGGGTGTGGAAACTATTGGGGAGTCTATTGGGCCAGCTTAGAAGTGCACATGTGAAAGAGAACAAACATATATGAGGAGAAGGAGAGAAGGAGATTCCACAAAATGAGAGTAGGAGATGTTGGAGAAGGGAGGGATGAGAGAAGATTAATTAAGCATGGGCCCCAATGTGTTTAATTTAATTTACTAAGAAAGCTATGATAATTGCACATTAAAAAATGATAATAGTGTAGGACAAGTCGTTCTCTTAAAATTTTTTTGGAGAACTTATCTGAAAACATACTTTCTAATTAATATTTTTAAAAATCGATTATTAGATAGAAAGTTTTATTCATGCAGATTATGTATGTTAATTTTCATATTGATGTAACACTATAACTTTTTGGTCAAATAAACTCTATTTACTAACATATATTTAATGGTATTAAATTTCTTATAATCAACGAAATGATTAGATCTATTAAAATAATTTAAAATTCACTATACATAATCTACATAAATAAAACTTTTAATCTAATAGTTGGGTTTTAAAAATATTAATTAGAAGATAAGTTTTTAAACAATCCTTAAAAAAATTTAAGCAAATGACCTACAAAACTTTTTTTTCCTTAGAAAAAAAATTAAGGTAAGATAATAATTAGCACTAGAAAACCCACAATTTTAAGGTGAGTGAGTCCTACTATATTTAAATTATTTATTAAATAATTACTATCAAAATTTAAAAGGAAAGTCTTATGTGGAAATGAAAATTATTCATATTGGTAATAAAATAAGGTTTTTAATATATATTGTAAGAATACAAATTAAAAGTATAATAAATACATATTTTTATCATTAATTTGTGTTAAGAAAATAAAAATTGATATTTAATTTATTCACTATTCAATTAAATATATATATATAACAATAATGTTAAAATTAATGTCAATTTTTATATTTTTTAATAACATTTATGATGAAAAAATGTTGTTAATCTAAACTCATAGGGCACAAATTAGAAAAACTCATAAAATAATTTCACAATTTTCATGTAATATTTTAATTTTAAAATTTTGTATTTTAAGATCACGTAACTGTCCATTTTAGCATCAGAAAATTAAAGTTTAGGGATGATGTTGATCATTTTGAAGTTTGGGAAGTAACTTGGTCAAAAACTTAAAGTTGAGGGACTAAATGATCATTTAACCAAATGAGAGGCGAAGTCTAGATGCGGGAAGAGTCAATCCCTTAAAAAAAAAGTCAAGTCAAGAACAGTCGCTCGCCTCTAAACAATTGTTGTTAATGGGTCCCACATATTATAAAGTCTAGTATAAAAAGATTGCCGGTTGTTGCAGGAACAAATTCGACCTTTGTTTTTTTCAACTAAATTTCAGCCACTCGATATGCATTATTAAGAAAGTAAAGTTTGCTTCCCTCAGAAAAAAAAAAAAAAAAAGGTGGAGAAGAAGAAGAAAGTAAAGTTTGCTATGTGTCATGATCAGGTCTGCCACTGCTACTTGCCTTTTGTAGTTGGGTCAACCAAAGTCCAACAAAATATCCTAATAACTAATAATATGATTAATCAAAATTAATTATCATTTTTTCTCTGTGGGACTTAGGAGGTAGCATATTTACTAGCATATCTTCAGTCAACTTGGAGGAATTGGCAGGAAGCTTTGAATAAAATTAAAAAACGAGGGAAGATCCAAAAAACTGAAGTCGTATTCAAATCTTCCTCTTCCGAGGGCATGGGTCATAGACACCTTTCTTTACCCTTACTTTGGCAGAGAAGGGGGCGTCAGGGAGAATATGAGTATTCGTTGTTTTAAAATGTAGCGAGTAGACTTTTGCTGAACTGGAAAGATGGTTACAATCAGTGTTGTTAAAATCATGATTTAAATTGTAAAATCGTATGATTTTATGATTTTAGATAAGCATTTTGAGTAAATTTTATGTTAAAATCAAAATTCTGTGAAATTGAAAGTTAAAATCATAAAATCGTGATTTTACTATAAAATCGAATAAAATTTTAATTTTACCTTCGATTGAAGCAGCTGAACCATTTCCTCTTGGGCATCCATCTTGAGTTAGTAGGCTTTGACCAACAGCCCTTAAATTAAACCCATTTCTTATTTTAAAAGCCCACGACCCTCAACTCAACAACAACTGCAATTTGCTTCTGGAAATCGGGAGTTTGGGACTAATTTGATCTGAATCTTTGATCTTCTTTAGTCTTCTTTCACTATTCACTTAGGGTTCACCGCAGGGGAAGGGGGGGTTAGATCGAACTGTCGCTACTCTCATCACTCACTGGCCCCTGCCGCTGCCCATCACTCACTGTCACTGCCACTGCCGCTACTCACTGCTCAGTGCTGCTCACTGCTCAGGGGCTTGCTGGAGTTGCTGCTGCTCACTGCTCAGGCTCTTCCCGAAGCTACTGCTGCTCACTGCGTGCTCAGGCTCTTCCCGGAGTTGCTGGTGCTCACTGCGTGCTCAGACCCTTGCTGCCTTGCTGCTGCTCACTGCTCAGGCCCTTGCTGCCTTGCTACTGCTAACTGCTCAGGCCCTTGCTGCCTTCAAAATAGTCAGCATCTTGATTATTTGGATCATATCTTGTTTAGAATCTCCACCAACTTCTTTTTTATCTCTTTTGGCAAGAAAGTTAGTATTTAACATTTTTAATTTCTAATTTAAATGTTTAACTAATGATTTATGTTAAATTAATTTATTTATTTGTGTTATTGGATATTTAGATTTTAATTAGTTAATTTTTAATTTTTAATTTTTAATTTAATTTATTGTTGTTTAATTTTGATTTTATATAATTTATTATATATTATATATTAAATTTAATTAACTCTAAATTTTACCAATTGATTTTATGAATATTTAATCAAAATGATTTTAGGTAAACTCTTAATTTTGACATCCTTAGTTACAATATTTTGTGTTCACCATTTCACCGTCCATGCTAATTTGGGTCATGATTTGCACGACAAGGAGGAAATTTCAAAAAGAAAACGATCTATATGGAGAATAAAGGATTACCACAATGGTACTCGAGTTCTCTATATTATAAATTCCATAAGCACAAGT